GGGGCTGTGCTGGGTCAGTCTGTGTGGCCACAGGTCCCCGGTAGGAGGGCTGAGAGCCCCTGGGGAGGGGAGGGGACTCCTTCACAACTTCTGTTGTCAGAATCCTGACAGTGACGCTGGCGGGCTCTGGGGCGGGAGGGGCCACGAGGCTCAGAGGTTGGGGCCCGCTGAGCAGTGCAGGGACACGCCCCGCCCCAGGACCTCCCGGCTCGGCCCTGAGAGAGAACTTGCTCTGGGGAGGGAGGGTTGAGATGAAGTCGCTGCCTGGCGAGCATGGCCTCAGCTCTGCAGGATCACGCCGGCCTCGGGCACCCCACCCCCCTGCCCTTTTTCAACAATGGCAAAACGTTTAAGAAAGAAATTAAAAGGCCATGGGAGACTTTATCACGGAGATGTAAAATCATCTGAAAAATTCCACCTCTAATGTTGAATCATCAGGACAAGTTCCAGAAAGCCTGCTCTCCAGCGGAGGCCCTGGTGGGAGACGGGACACACAGACTTACGGACCTACGGAACCGCCTCTCAGCTGGGTCAGAGGCGGAGGGTCAGAGGGCGGAGGGGAGGGACCCCCGCACCGCCTCTCAGCCGGGTCAGAGGCAGAGGGTCAGAGGGCGGAGGGTCAGAGGGCGGAGGGGAGGGACCCCGCACCGCCTCTCAGCCGGGTCAGAGGGCGAGGGGAGGCCGAGGGGAGGCCAAGGCTCCCAGCTGCAGCCAGAGGCGGGTCAGAGCAGGAGTCACGGTGGGGACCCAGCAGGAGGCCAATGGCCCAGCCACTCAGCTCCCTGCAGCCCAGGACCGGCCAGGTGGGCGAGGTGTGTGGAGGCTTCCTGCTTCCTCAGTGCGCTGCCATCCCTCCCGCTGCCATCCCTCCTGCTGCGAAACCCACAGCCCCGCAGTGGCAGCCAGGTGCCCGGAGCCTCCACTGGTGGCAGGTGCCTGTCGGTGCCCCCACTTCACAGATGCAGAAACTGAGTTTTAGAGCCGCGCCTACTGGCAGGGTGAGGTCTCGCTTTGGGGCCCTGGGACTCCATAGACCCTCCTTCTGGTGGCCCCTTGGCCAGCCCCCAGCCGCTGGGCTCCCTCCTTAGAGAGGCCAGAAGCCCCAGCGCCCGCGCCCACAGTGGCTCTCACTGCGCAGAGCAGACCCAGGACCGGGGAGGACATCAGGTGAGAGACCTGGAAGTCGCCCATGAAAGGCCGGTCCTAGCGCCACAGGAGGTCTCAGGTGGAAGGCCGCCCAGACCCAGCCATCCCTGCCCCAGTCTCAGGTCAGACGGAGAACGCGGCTCACTCTCGGCTTTTTTTCTTCCACTTTTAATCACTTCACTGTATAGCTCTAGCAAAGAAGGCTGGTGTTAAGAGCATAACCTCAATGAATTTTCATACTAACAAAGTTCATAATATGTTCTTAATATTTAAAATCCAGTCATTCAATTTTTTTCCTTTTTTCCAACACTTTTTTGGTGAATTTGCGATTTATGTTTTAAATAAATAACGCCGGTTACAGCAAGAGTCACGTGCACAAAGCTAGATCCTGCCAGATTCCTTTCTACTCTGCGGCCTTGCTGGCTCGGTTTTCCTTCAATTCTCTTAGTTAGCCACATGGATTCCTGTTCCCAGCAACCAAAGACTCCAAGTTCGTAGAGGCCTTCCTGTGTGCCAGGGACAGCACACAGGACTCTGCACATAGCATTTCCTTCCATGCTCAGGACAACCAGGCGCTGCAGGTAGCACACTGCAAACCCATTTTACAGATGAGAAAACTGACATATTGAGCACCTTCTCCAAGCCATGTAGGTGGGGCCATGATTCCAGCTAAGGCCTAGCAGACTTCAAGTCCATATTCCCAAGTATGACACATGCTTTCCAGGCAGCAGTGCAATGAATAGAACATGGACACAGTGAAGGGGGGCCCAGGGAGGGATGCGATGAACTCAGCTTATGGCTCGGGAGGAAGAAGCTGCCAAACTGAAACGCAGAGGAGTAAGTGTCGCGGGACAGTTGAGCCGAGCCTTAAAGAATGCATGAGCTCACCAGGTAGCAGGGAGGAAGGGCCCCAGGGGAGGGCATGTTAGCCAGACCGTCCTTGCTGGTCTGTGAGAATTTAAGGAACCAGAGCGGGGAGCTGGGCGGCTGAGCCCAAATCACCTGTGGCTCATCCAGCTCTGAATGGACATCTTTGTGCTCGAACCTGGGCTCACCTTGCCCCGAGGCCCGGGCCCTCGGCTGCCGGGTTCCCGTGAGCAGGCCCCACCCCGTTCCCGCTGCTTCCGGGCGCTGCGCCCGCTGCTTTCCACCTTTCTGCCGGCATCCGGTTACCTGCCCCCTGAATGCTCAGTCCCCTCTCTCCCTCAAGGGGACCATGGTCATGACCTCGCATTTCTGGACGGTCCTCTGGGAGACCAGCTCCCGAGGGCACCCATCAACACCCACCAGGAGTGGGAACAAGCTCTGGGGCCTCTTCGCCAAGGGAAACGGACTCTCCCAGACCAGAACATAAAGCCTTTGTTTCAGCGTTTTTGGCAGGAGGATTCTGTTTCCTCCCTGCGCTGTGGCCTCCCTCTGGGGTTCTGTGCAGGGGAAGCCCAGGTGAAGTTTCAGTCTCCGAACAAGCCCAGGCTTTCTGGCCAGGGTAGGACTATGTTTTGGAGACGAATCTCATGCAGCGTAACGAGTGTCATTTCTTGAGAAGAGCCTTTGCGTGGGGAGGTTGTGTCTCCACTTGTCATGCTCCTCCATGCGCATGCTCCCCCTTTCCTGATGGGACAGGTGCTCACCTCATCACTCCTCAGTGATAAGAGCACCCACCTCTATGACGTGCAGAGATGGCTTGGAGGGGGCAGACCTGTCAGCCAGATGACAACACCTGCGTGTCACAGGCCAAACACTGGTCGTTTGGCACGGGCTGCCCACCAGCAGTCTCTTACACGTGGCTGGCCGATCTTTCCATCGGTGGCATGTACTCATCGTGGTCAAAGTCAGCACCGTGGATTTGAGGGGATGCTAATTTGAACCCCAGCCCCAACACTGATGGGCCCGGGGGCCGTGGGCCAGCTGCTTGGCTCTCCCACAGGAGGAGGGAGCCGCTGTTCTGTGTCCACAGCGATGCCGCCTGTGGCCGCCGGCGAGTGCTGGCGATTCGTGCTGTGCTGTGTTATCTCTCCCGAGGGACTGTGACAGAAGGTGTGGGCTTAGCTGGGAATTCCTTTAAAACGTTATAAAAACAAGAACGGAAATTCCAGGTATCTTTCCTAAGCTCTTTCTTTCAAGGAAGCAAAATGCCACGGAAGTGCCCATTTAACACAGACCAGGAAAACAGTGCGAAACAAAGCTGTTCTGACCGGCTGCGGCTTTCCTTCCGCACGGAGCGTGGTTTCTTTGTGTGCCAGGCTTTGCCATGTCCGAGTGGCCTCTCAGACAGGAGGTGAACGCATTCTGAACCATGTTGAGTTTGCGACCAGCGTCCAGGGAGGGCAAACTTAAAGGCCTCATTCCAGGTGTCACTCAGCCCCTGTGGGTGATCGTGGCCACCCCTGCGGCCGCCTGCGCGGGTGGCTTTCGGTGAGATCCTGACCCACCCTCTGCGCGGGAGGCCTGTCCATTGCTGTGAAGGCCCTGCAGCCGGAGCCTCCCTGTGATGCTGCCGAGAGCGGTGTAATTGGAGCGTGTGCCGCTTCCTGCAGGCTGCTAAGCTGCGAGTCCCGTCCGTTCCCTTTCATCCCTGGGAGGAGCACAGTCTCAGAATCCCCTGCCAGAAACTTCCCTACGTCTGTCCGTTTGTCGGTCCGCATTTCCGGGCACAGCAGGAGAAGGGGCCCTCGGGGAGCCTGCAGGAACCTGCCTGCTTGCTCCGGGAAGGGCTGCCGACCCAGGGAGGCGCCTAGCTGTGACCTGCCCCAGAGGAGGGGCCACGGTGAGGGGTCAGAGTCACAGGTGATTCCAAGTGCCTGCTTCTTCCCTTCAAAAAGGCAAACCAGCCTGCTCCTCGGTGGGAGGAGAGCAGGGAGTGCGCCCAGAAGGAGGCAGGGAGGGGCAGGAGGGAGAGTAGGCTGGATGGGGAGGTAAGGGCGGGCCTGGGGAACGAGGATGAACAATGCGATCCCCACCCCCAGTGCTAAGTGAATGGGTCAGCCCCCAGCCAGACAGCCCGACAGCCCCACATAGATCCCATGACGAATGTTTCACCCACTGACCGTGTGGTGGAGGCGGTCTTGGTTATTTACACCCTAAACATAGTGTTTACCGAGGGCTACCTTACAGGCTAACCCTAACCTCTGACACCCCGTTCCCCACCAGCGCCAGCCTGAGGAAACAGGCCATGGGGGCGGGGGGGGGGGCAGTGAAACATTCAGTCCAGCTGCTG